AGTTCCCCCAAATGTACTTTCCTTCCCCTTTCTGGGAATGTGGCATTTCCCAATTTTGGCTTTTAGAAACATTTATAACCAGCATGGTAAATGTGTATTTATGAAATTATGCTTAGCCACAAAGTCCACATTTTAACCAAACAGAATTTAGGACAAATATTAAAAGTTTTCCGAGTTGCCAGCCAGTGTTTCAAGAACAGGAGGATGGTTCCAATTTGCCCGATTTTGAAATTTGTGTGAAGAAACATATTTTTAAATGGCCACTATTTGAAAAGCAGCCTTTTCCGACCACCTTCCCCCATTTCCCATCTTTAGCCAGAGCAACTGTAGGTGTACAGATGCGGCATGTGGGGGTGGACGCTGTCAGGGAACAAAAATACTGAAACCCATGAAGGCCACAAACAAATCCTCAAACATCTTTGATCCAGTGGTTTCTGTTCATTCGCTCGTTCATTCATTTGCTCCCCAAGAACCTGCTCTTGTGCCAGGCCTCATTCTAGGTATTGGAGCCCTGCTTCTCAGGGAACTCATGGTGACAGAAGGATATCTGTCATAAAACTGGATGTTATTTTTTTATTTTCCTTCTTCTGGTTTTTCTGAGGACTCTATTTGCCCATTTCCCCATCACCACCATCCTTTCACTGGAAAACGATTAACATTTTGGACTCTGCACAATTTTAAACGAATACCTGACATTTTCATGGTATAAAGTTCATCCCGGGCTAACCCAGGACTTGTTTGTCCACAAGATTTCTAAAATGTTGCTATACAACTAAAAGATTTAAAAGTAAAAACTGAAACTTTTGCTTTGTAACTAGGATTAAAAAAAAAACACAAAAAAAACTATAGTGTTGAGTTCTTACTATATAGTTTAAATCCCTGGGTCAGCAATCCAATAATACAAAAGGAAGACTTTGCTGCATTTTGGAGCATCTCTTACCTGGATTGTTGCAAGCCCCTCCCTCCCTCTTTGCTGGTTTCCCAGTGTCCATTCTTGTCGCCTCTTGCATCTATTCTCCAGTGTGTTATGAGACTTTTAAAAATATATAAATCTGTTCATGTCAGTCTCTGCTTGTCCTGAGGATAGAATCCAAATTTCTTACTGTAGTTGACATGGCCAGCTATCACCCTGTCCTGGCCTACCTTCTCCAGATCACCTGACCTTACTCGGATTCGTGGGATACACCGTGTTCTTGCCTTTTGGCTTCTCTCTGCACATGCCACCTCCTGTCTGGAATTCTCTCAAGCCTGCCTCCTTCATGCCATGGCTCCTCAGCTGTAAAGCCTAAATTCAGTGTCACTGCACCTGGGAGACCATCCCTAAACTCCTCCTTGGTTAAATATCCTTAGTCTCTGCCTCTGTAGCACCCTCTTTTATAACTTAACCACTCAATTGTTTACAGCCTGCCTCCTCCTACTGAATTGTAAACTCCACAAGGAAAGACACTATGCATCTGACTCATAGTTGGACCTCCACACGGAAAGTGCAGTGTCTAGATTAGAGTGGGTGCTGATTTTACTTCCTGATACTGGATGTGTTCATTTTAACTTAATACATTTTTCTTTCCTATACATGTTCACAAAGAAAAACTGGAAAATAGAAAAAGCTCATTTAAGGTCTAACTACCTATACATTCTGTCAACAAGTTCTTGTATTTCTGTATATCCTGTTCTGTGAGCATAGGTTATTTAATTTCTGTAATCATATTAAAACATACAAGTGTGTATCCTGCTTGTTAATGCCTGGCAAGGCAAAAATGTTCTCTGTATAAATTATCATTTTTCATCACTATATAATACATCATCAAGTAGATACATTGTAATTTACTCAGGTCCTCCCATACAAGTCTTGAGTTATTCTGGCTTTTTACTATAAAATATAGTAATAAACCTTATTGTATATATTAACCTTTCTTTTCTGTTCAGTTTCAATTTTATAGGCTAAATTTCCAGACATAAAATTACAGGGTCAAAGTCAAAGGGTGTAGACTTCATTAAAGTTCTAATATATTTCTAAGTTGGTTTCTGAAATGATCATGCCAGTAAATTACTTTCTGGACCTAGAGATTGGTGGGTATCTGACCAACTTCTCAGCAGTGCAAAGGGCACATAGAGGGAAATTCGCTTCCTTTCTCTGGAGATGAGAAGTAATTTGTTACCTTGTTTCCCAAAAGGCCCAAAACAGAGGGAGAAAGAGCACGGCTAAGAGTTTATGAGATTCAGAACCTGGCCCCCTGCAGCCTTTTTGAAGACAAAAGGGGCTGCACGTGGTTTTGCAGGGTGGGTCGTTCAAATACAGTCACTCAGACTGGAGAACCGCGCAGATCCTGACATCCCATGAAAGTTATTCGTGAAAGCCCACAACTCCGTCCTGGGGAAGCCAGCTGTCCGCTGAGGGGAGACGCAGCACCAAGGCCACAGCGCCCCTTGGCGGTGGGGCAACGACACTGCGAACTCGTCCGTGCTCCTGCTAAACGTTCAGGCCTCACAACTGTCTTCTGTTTGATGTTTTCACCCACTCAGCAGAATGATTATAATCTGTCTCTAGCATGTGAAACAATTTCAATACTTGAGGCTTAGTCTAAGGCGAGAAGTATTATATGATTCAAAAATATGGTTGAACGTGCATTTTCAGATTGTCCTTAGGTGGCAGAAACCCAGACTTAAGAGGGAAGACTGAGATAAACTTGCTTGTTCATGAAGGAATGAAAATGGACACTCGTCTTCAGCTCACTTAGCAGGCATTAAGAGGGGCAGACAGTGATGGAAGAAAAATCCACCTAACGTTTCCAGAGCTTCCCGCTCCTAACCCTTCACATTTGTACCTTCGGAAGGGACACCCACTCAGGATGTTCACACCATCTAGTATTGCCATTTCATGCTGAAAAGAAAGACTGAAGTGAACTTCGTATTTCTAGAAAAAGGGACACTGGTGAACACGGGGAAACTGTCTCTTACACCAGAAATGCCCATCTCAGTCACAAGCTGAGAAAAGCATAGTGCTACCAAGATTTTGAAGGACATACATACAGCCCAGGCTGGCAAACTTTTTCTGTGAAGGGCCAGATAAGCAAGTATTCGAGGCTCTCTGGACCACGCGGTCTCTGTCACAACTACTCAACTGCTCTGGCAGCTTGAAAGCAGCCTCGGACAACATGGGAAGGCATAGGCATGGCTATGTTCCCACCAACTGTACGTATGGCACACTGAAATTTGAATTTCATATGATTT